AAAAAAAAAAAAAAAAGATAATAATAATTAATAATGTGAAGGTACAACTTGCAGATTGGAAGGAAATAGTCAGAAACCATATGTTTATAAGAAGCTACTATTCAAAATATATAAAAACAATTCTAATAACAAAAAAAAAGCAAAAACTTGATTAAAAATGGTCCAGGAGCCTGAACAGATACAGGTAGATGAAAAACTGCTCAGATCACTCATCATTAGGCCAACACAAGCTAAATCACCACTGAGATGTTATTTCACATCTGGCAGGATGACCATCACCAAAAAGATAAACTATACCAAGAGTGGGTGGGGAAAAAGTAACCCTTATCTGCTGTAGGTGGGAGAATAATTTAGCATCACCATTTATAGAAAACTGAAAGTTCAATTATCATATGATGCAGCAATCCGGCTTCCAGATATTTACCCAACATATTTGAAATTGGTTTGTCAAAGAGATGCCTACACTCACATCCACTGTGGCACTCTAGACAACAGCCAATACAGGGAATCAGACTGAGTGTTCAGCAAGGGGTAGAGGAATAAAGAAGCATAGTGCGTATACACAAGTACAACAGAATAGTATTCAGCCTTAAAAAAAAGAACATTCTGTCACTTGCAACAAATGGAATTGGAAAACATTAAGCTAAGGGAAACAGGCCAGGCCCAGAAAGACAGATACCACACGTCCTCATTTAGACATGGACTCTAAAACAACCAAATTCACAAAAGCAGAGAGTAAAAGAGTGGCTACACACAGCACTGGGAGCTTCCCATCAACGGGCATGAAATCTTATTAGACAGGAAGAATAAAGTTTCTTTTTAAAGATATATTGCACAGTGTTGCAAATGTTTAATAGAATATTATATATTTTAAAATCGGTAAGAGCAAATTTCAAATGTTCTCACTACAAAAGATGACTATTTGAGGCAGTGGCTATCTTAATTAGTTGCAGTCAATATCATACATTGTATTCATAAATCAGCTGAGATGTATGTCTAATTTAGAGAACTGAAAGATAGCCAATAAAACTGGGAAGAAGAGGTGATAACCTATAAAAATTGAGGCCAAAGAAGAAAGCAGTAGACAGAATAAACCAACATATACAAGGATTCAATATGAAGCAAAGATAAAAACTCTAAGATACAGATTTAACACTAAATCATTCATTTTCTCAATCTCTACTTTGTTCCAAGAAAATTATAGTGCGGAAATGAAAATGAAAACCACAAGTTAATTGTCAGCCAATTGAAAAGCTAAAAGTATAAAATGAAGAACCAACAAAAGTTAAATTGTTAAAAGGGAAATTTAAAAAAACACAGCAGGAAACATGGTAAAGACAGCAAACCTTCAGGGATCACTTCTGTTCGCATGGAAAGAGGGTGGAGAAATAAGGAGAAGAGGGACACAGGAAGGGAAGAGAATGAAAATCTAAAGTTGTGTTCTATCTGCAGCCCAACACTCTGCAAGGAGCATAACTACTGTGCAATGCAAACATGGGCTAATAAATAAAAACTGAAAAAAAAAAACCTCATAAAGAAAAAATAGAGACACAAATTCATACTACATTCTGGGTGGGAAGTTTCAAAATTCAATATAAATTGAAAAATTACAAAAGTGAAAATAGTAGACAAACTATAGAATGTCTCTAATCTGGGGGTAAAGCTTTTTTTGTGGCAGAAATAGCAATTGAACTCAGGCCCTTATACTTAAAGAAATATTTTCAAGTAAGATTTGAAACTCAGAACCCCCAAAGGGAAGGGGCAAGAGGTTTTTGGTACCTCTGTGTGGCTTAAGACAGACTGTAACCAGGGCTAAAGACACAGCCCAGACTGGGCTTGGCAGTACGCACCTGTAATGCCAGCACTCTAGGAGACGGAGGCAGGAGGATTTCAAGGTCAAACCCATTCTGGGCAACCTAGTGACTTAGTGAGACACAGTCTCAAAGTAGAAAGTTTAAAAGGGATGAAGGTATAGCTCAGGGCAAAGGCACTGAGTTTCATCTCCAGTCCCAAACACATAAATAAGTAAAATCAAGCCTAGTCCAAACTAAAAAATACAGATTTGCCCTCTACGACCAGGAAATGGACAGAACATTATAGCAGGAAAGACTGTGAGTGCCCAAGCCAGTCTCCGCAGGTTTGTGCGGGCTCTCCCGTGCACTCTCTGCCTAGCAAGTCTGCTACCTGTACCTGCTCCCCCTCTGTAAAGGGGGATGGACCGCGTCAGCCCTCTGATGCTGTGAAGGATGTGAGGGAGCAAGCTCGCCCAGCACACAGAGCAGGAGCGTTGTGTAAGTGCTCAGGAAGCATTAGCTTATTAAAGCTTATACAGAGCTTCTGTTGATAAGAACAATAAACACTCTCAGAAAGAAGGTTAAAATATATGAATTGCCAGATGACATCATGGAGATAGACGTAGAGATAGACAGAGACAGAGACAGAGATGATAGAGATAGATATAAATAGATATAACAAAGAAACTCAAAATAAATTCTTGTGTTATTTTGATGGTTATAAAAGAGTATGGTTATCTTTGCATCTAATCATGTAATAAAGCAAGCTGCGAAGCTGAAGGTACACATTTTAAGTATACGTGCTTCTGTAGACCGCCTTTCTGGAAGGCCATGTACCAAACCGATGAAATCTATCTTCTGAGCTGTGATACAGACGCTGCCAGTGGTAGGCTTCAAGGAGATCTCTTGTTTTTTAATTTTTATTTTTAATAACACATCTGCTGTATGTTCTTTTTATTTTTTTTTTTTTTGCATTTTTGAAGTATGCCAGTATTTTTTAAATAAGCAAAGTTCATGTCTCTCTTAGAAAATAATTTAAAATATAGAGCCAGGTGTGGTGGCTCATGCCTGTAGTCACGGCCCTCAGGAGACTGAGGCAGGAGAATCACACATTCAAAGTCAGCCTGGGCTGCTGTGATAGCTGATCCACGGGTCAACTTGATAAGTTTAGAAGCTTAAATACGCAACCCAGCAGGGGGCCAGCGTCCTCACCTTGTAAACATTCTGAGTCAGCAAGAGGAGGGCATGGAGGTAGTTTGGGTGGCTGGCCTACCTATGCTATAAGGGGGGAAAAGAGGCCTGTTCTTCCCCTGCTTTTGCTGCTGTTGCTCTTGCTGTTTGCCACTGCCCTGAACTGTTCCCCTCTGAGACGCTGCCCTGCCTTGCAGCTAACCAAGAACAGACCGAAACCTCCACAAACTGGGAGATAAATAAACCTTTCCCTCCCAGCAGCAACAGAAAGGTTACTTAGCTACACAGTGAGTTCAAGGCCAGCCCAAACGGCATACCAAGTCTCTGTCTCAGATAGATAGATAGACAGATAGATAGATATAGACTTTTAAACAAATAATCAAAACCATCAAAAATAAGAATAAAAATTATATAGATATATAGATATATAGATATATAGATATATAGATATATAGATATATAGATATATAGATATATAGATATATAGATATATAGATATATAGATACATAGATACATAGATACATAGATACATAGATACATAGATACATAGATACATAGATATATAGATATATAGATAGAAAGAGAGAAAAGTGAAGTCAGGCTCAGTATAGTTTTGTGTGTGGAAAACACATTTCACAGTGAGGTGTTCCAGGTCTTCCATGAACACAAGGCCACACTGACAGATAACAGCAAAGCCGTGCGCTTGGCACCACTGTGGTTGCCATGGCAGCTGTCAGACTTGCTCCTGGGTCACTCAGAGCCTCAGCAATTCTTTGGTCCTAAATGATGCCCACATATGAATCAAAATGTCAAGAATTGGGGGTCTGCCCCCAGCTCAGTTCTTTAAGTGGCTATTTCAACAAAATGTCAAGAATTTAGAAGCACTCAGGAAAGAAGGACTCGGGCAGCAAGGGCGACCCTAGACTCCCAGCAGTCTAGGGCTTCGTGGAGGGAGGTGCATCCCGCCGGCCCCAGTTGTCCTTACAGCCACTGATGGCTTCGGGAGGGCGGCCCTGGGCTCTCCCACCACACTGATCTCCCAGGCCCGAGCAGGACTCCTTTGTCAGAACACGCTGGGTCAGCGCCAGCGCCCCGTGGTTGGGTTCTCACCAGCAGATCTCGCGTCTCCACACCATGTGAGGTCGTCCCCAAGGTAGCCCAGCAGCGTGTCCTCCAGCGTGAACAGCCCGCTTTGTACCCTGGTGAACTGATGGGCCAGCTCCTTCGACTTGCTCCAGAACAGAGTCTGAGAAAGAGCGAAGGCATCATTCTGCTGAAATCAACTTCAATCAAAGACGTCCCCCAAACTGAGACTAAGCCACATATAGGAAGAGTAAAGCCTGTTTGGAGCTCCATTCTTTCTGCGTGAAGCAGAGAGCCTGCACGTGTGTGTGTGTGTGTGTGTGTGTGTGTGTGCGCGCGCGCGCCGGCGCACACACACACATGCACCCGCAAGCGCATGCGCGCTCTACGTCACAATGTAAAACGCATTTAGTATTCCAAGGTAAAAATCTAAAGACTCAGGGCTGGTGAGATAGTTCAGCAGACTAAGTGCCTGCTTAGGCAAGAGCAGGCACGAGGGTTCAATTCCAGGCACCGCATGGTACAGGCCCCAATCCCGGGCCACGCTGAGCCAGCGGCTAAATCCAGGCATGGTGGTGCACGCCTGTAATCCCAGTGCTGGGGAGGCTGAAAACAGGAGGACCACTGCGAGTCTGGCCTGTATAGCGAGACCCTGTACCAAATATAACAATAATAATAATAATAATAATAATAATAATAATTTACAAATACAACGCTATCAAATCACCACTGGAGGAGGCATTAGAGTTCCAATATTCTTAAATTTACCTGAGCCAAGTTTTGCTTATGTGCTATTTCCTGAGAGAAATACTCGTTGATTCTTTAAAAACCCCATAATCCCTTCTACCTTCCCCATATGCTGCCTAACACCGCCACCAAAAATAAAATAAAATAAAACACGGAGGGTTGTTTCTCAGGCTCCCTCTCCAGGCACACACAGCGCACTTCAGGACCGCGCGGCCTCCAGAATCAGCCTTCTGCTCCTCGCCTAGCCACGCCGCAAGGGTGTGGCCCACAGCGGGCCTGAAGCCCCGGTCCTTGCTGAAGTTGCCCCGCGCCACCACTGATGGGCTGTGTGACCACAGCGTGGCTAAGCCTGACCTTCTGTGCCTGTGGGCCTGTGGGGACAGAGACGGCAATAAAGCCCCAGATGCTGGGCAGATTTAAACGGGTCACACAAGCGCACCCTTCCACACCGCAGCAGGCAGAGTCATTATTTGCTGAGCGCTTTGTCTGCGCGGGGCCCTGTGCTAGAGTCCTGAGAACTGTAGCTCGTGGACAGCACAAGTTGGATGAGAGGCTGTGATTTGTGAATGGGGTTCAGGGCTTCGCAAAAACAATCGTGGGCACTCTGAAACTCCGCCTTATGGACACTGACGTTGGAGAAAATGCTCCCTGTGGCATGCCCTTCCCCACGCAATCAGTGCGTCTGAGCGAGTGCCTCTCAGCCTCCAGGCCGTGCTCTATTCAAGTCTCCAGCCTGCCGCTCTTAGGCAATCACTGGCCACCTGTACTCGGCTCTCTCTCTGGTGAGATGGGCATGTTGCGGAGTGGCTCATCTGTCCCATAGCGTGGCTGTGTGGGCCTTAGAGCCTGACAGGAGAGCTCTCTGCAAGGAGGGTGCAAACGCAAGCAAACACTTTACTCTTGCATGAAGTCAGGTTGCTTTTGTTCCTCCATGTGGACTGCAGTTGTCACTGAGTTTGCTTTGCCCAATTTTGGGCCAGTTCTTCTGTTTTCTGGTCCACCCTTCCCTTCTATCCCACAGGCCCTAAACCCCAATAAGTTCCTCAGTGGCCCCACTAACTCTACCCCCACCCATGTTGCAGTGCCTCCTCCAGCTTCCCCCTTCCCTAGTTCTACTCTAAATTTGTTCCCATGTCCTCTACCAGCTGGCTTTTATACCCAGTTCCAATATCGATGACATGAGCCGTTACCTTGTTGCAGGGTACTGTTTGATCAGCCAAGTGAAGGAGGGGTTCATAGTCTTCCTTTGTAATGTCACAAGCATTTTTTGCTATAAATGCATTTTTGAATGTATCTAGTATCTTAGGGCAGTCTTTGCTTCTGTGAGAAAAAACATGGAAAATAAGATGAAATACAGATAGATTTTTAAAATACTGTGCTGGATATGGTCATGCATACCTGTAATCCCAGCACTTGGGAAGCTGAGGCAGGAGGAGTCTTTGAGTTTGAGGCCAGCTTGGGCTATGTAATGAGTTCAAGGCCAGCCTGAATGCCTGACCTACATAATGAGCCCATCTCAAAAAAAATATTTAAAAAAATATATTAATTTCACCCATATCATCTCATTTGATATCTGCTTTTTGTACAATGGGAATTCCTCTTCCTCCCTGGCTGAGATAGCACGGCCTTCCCTAACACACAGGGCTGGCAAAATGGCAGAGCCAAGACTGAGGTCAGGTCCACCAATGCCAGGGCTGGCATTCAGTCATTCATGCCCTACTATCTGAGCTTTAAGTACAGCTGAGAAGAGCAAAGAAAGGCAGAGCCCACACCCTGTGAAACACCGGATTCCACAGAGTAGTGGTTATCACATTTGGCTCACACACACACGGGAAAACCATTTAGGATTCCTCGAACTTCCCCTGAATTTTCCCATCTCCTTGAGGATGCGGGGCCACACTGCAGACGCCACCTTCCCATACCTGCCCCAGAGAGAGCAGGAGCTGGGTGCTGCGCTGCGGTCCCCGCAATCTGGAAGCCAGCTGAGCCTTGTGGGCTCTGGGCTCCTCTAGCATGGAGGGTGATAAAGTGGGAGGCCACCAGCTGCGGGGGGCTTTGAGGACCTCTTACCCCCACCTCATCTCAAGCCCACTTGCCCTCCATAGGCTTCCATTCCTCTCCAGTCCCCTCAGCTTTGCCTATAGTTCAGCTGCTCTCAGGTGCAGTTACCTGGACATGGGCCTGCTTTCCTAAGATGTGAGTCTTGTGGCCAGAGACAGCAGGCAGCACCTTCCCATCTCTTATACTAGATTCAAGATAATGTCCACAGATTGAGGGGAAGATTCCCAGGATCCCCCAAGATCAGAACACAAGTATGATTTACAGAGGAAGTGACCCCACTCTGAAGAAGCTCCAGAGCTTCACTGCTTCCTGAGCACAGTAGAGTGCTGGAGAGCCCCACCAATGCCGGCTTTGCAGAGCTCTGAAAATTAATTGGACTTTGCGGGAACCCGACAAGTAAAGCCTCAGTAACCAAGTAAGTCTCATAACATTTTAGCTTGCCCGAATTCCATCTCTCTCTCCACAGCTTCATGGAAGCCTGGAAATCCAATAACACCACCTATGAGAAGCAGCCTCCCAGCCCCTGCTGGGCAGGGAGTGAGTCCAGCCACCAGAAGTGGAGAATTGCCACTTGTAGTCTGTTTGGAAGTTTACTGAAAATTCCACATCTCAGGGTTTGTCTTTCTTTGACATGACCCAGATTTCACTCTATGTGAATGACTGTACTCATACACTGTCCAGGAAAACAATCAGTACAATTCTAGAACACAGCACATAGCCCCACCTGTTGACCCTAGTGAGAAGTAAAAACTTAAAAGAAAAAACTAGAGAATCAGATATCCATAAGGGATAAAAATGAAGTGTCGCCAAATACAGAACATTAATAAAAGGTGGGCAATGTTTTTAAAGTGTATAAGAGAAAGTCTGGAGTTGAAAGTAAATGTCTGGAATAAAATTTGACCTAACCAGATATGTGGAGCAGTCCTGTAATCCTAGCAATCGGGAGGCTGCTTGGATTATGGCAAGTTCAAGGCCAGTGAGTTCAAGGGCAGCCTGACCTACACAGTGAGATCCTATCTCAAAAAAACAACCCACTGGAGATAACCAACATTGCATTTGAACTGGAAAGAGAAGTAGCGAACTCGAGATCAAAATAACACCACACCTCGGGGCATAGGAGAACCTGTACTGTAACGTCATGTAACTCGGTTGTGTCCCAAATTTTCTGATCAAGGAGATTTTGGGGCCACAGAAGAAAGTGATTGATGATGTAGAGTGTGCCTAAGGAGAGTCACATGGAGAGAAAACATTCTCTCAGGCTTTCACAGAGAGCACATTGGCCAAGCAATGGCCGTGACTCATCCACATGGCTGACACTGACAAAGGTTCTACAAACTGTGGTACAGGGTTTCAGGATCATCCTAAGGGGATTTGGCTGACCTTATCAGATACAAAAGCTACATTTCTTGTTATATAGGTCTTGCTTTATCTTGGTCTTAACCATCCAGCAGAAAAGTATAAAAACAAAGTATAAAGAGTAAAGCCATGTTAATATGCTGAGCTGTAAAAGGCTCAAGTCAACAACATCTGACATTGTCACTCTTATGGAAAACCCACTAGTATTATGGACTACTGGACTATATTGGAATATTTTGCTGAATTCATACGCATACAATAGTTAAATGACAATGGAATACCCTTCTCTGACAAAACCAAACAGAAAAGGGGTATACAAATGAACAACCATTTTGTATCTGTACATTCAAAATAGTTAAGATAAATATATAGCTGCATTCTCTTAATTCAATGAATAGAGAGATTTGTTCTAATAGTGTTTGTGGACAGGATATCAGGTCTGCATCTTGTACATTGAATAACCAATAAGACAACAATATGTAATGTATTAATTATTGAAACTGCTAGTAATCAGTTTTGAAACTGTCTCATTGCTATTTGTTTCTCAATAAAACTATTTTAAAAAATAAAAAAACAACACACACATAAAGAAGGTAAAGAAGAAGAGGAGGAGGAGGAGGAAGAGGAGCAGGAGGAGGAGAAGG